GAGCATCCGACAGACGCGAAGAACACGAGGGCACCCTCCCCGACCCGACCTCGGCCTCACACCTCGGAGTCCGACCTGCGGTGCCCCGCCAGGGCGTGGGCTCCCTGCCGAAGAGAGGCCACCGCCTCTCGGCTCCTGGAGGCCGAGGCCCTCCCCAGCGCGCCCCGCATGTGTCGAGCACCTGCGGCCGACCTCCTCCGCCTCCTCCTCCTCCTCCTCCTCCTCCTCCTCCTCCTCCTCCCCCTCCTCTTCCTCCTCCTCCTCCTCCTCCTCCTCCTCCTCCTCCTCCTCGACAATCCTGAGAGCCCAAAAGTGCGGGCGTCGCGCTCGTTTGTTGACATATGCTGCTATGTCACTGCCACTGTGTAACAATATTGCTGTGCTGCTCACTTCTGGTTCCGCTGGCCTTCGCTGGCGGACGAGCCGCCACTTCACTTCCGCCGGCCTCCTCCGGCCTTCCGCCAGCTTCCGCCGAGGGCGAGATGTGCCGAAGGCGAAGCCCTCTCTGGAACGCCCTGTGCACCACGGGGGCGCGCGAGGACAGCCTCATCCATCCCAGGGGCGTTCCTCGAGCAAACAACCAGAGATCCCTCTGCGCAGGCAAGCCTGGCGCAGAAAAATATGAGTTCCCGCTCCTGCCCGAACTCCTTACTACGCTCACGCCCTTCGGAACTCTACCAGGCATCGTGCTGACCACTGCTCTGAGCCGTGCCCAGTTGCCACGACAAAGGTATCCTCCATGCCCAGGGAAGAGCAGCAGAATAAGCGCCAGGGCAAGCTATTCGACAACCAAAGTACCACTGGTAGATTCGTTGATATCAGAGCAACGTCGAGGACGAAGCCGATCACCAACAACAGCGCAAAAATATCAAATTTCGGAGGTCCGCGCTGATTTGCTGCGTCGGCTGACTAACAAACAACACATACATACTCATAGGGAGGTCAAAGGTGGGAGGACTAACTGTGGGTATGGGCGCGGGTTGTCCGACCCCTGGGGAGGCTCCCGCTCGAGCGGGAACCCTATCCGACAACACGCACCCGTGGCCCCGTCCGTCCCCCTCTACGGGTATAGGTGTTTATTTGTCGTTCGTCATCGGTGCTGGAACCCCCTAAATACACTCTTTCCCCGGCGCGCGTCGCGCGCCAGGGGCGGGGGGGCCGGCTCTGGAGGCGCCACCAGGGGTGGGTCCAGCGCCGGCACATGAAGTCCACACGGACCTTCAAAAGTTTACCCACCGGTCGGAAGAAGTGGGTGGAAACATGGAGTAGGAAGGCGTTGAAAGTAGATAAGGTTTCCGCCCGCCCCTAAGGAGGAGGGAAAAAAAGAAGACGGCTCGATGGTTGAAGAAGGGAAGGCGCCTAAAGTATTGTCGGGCTGCTGAAATTAGGAACGCGACAGAAGGAATGAGACCATTGTTGGCCCTCAAAGCGCCTGCCTTGCCGAGGAGCGCGAGAGAAACAGCAATAGAAGGACCTCAGGAGCATCGAGCCCCTTGCGAACCCAAACTGTTACTTGCTTTGGTGCATTGGCTGTAGACTGGAACCTGGGGATCCAAGAATACCTGCTTTCGACTGCCGATGGGCACGGGATTTGGACAAAAGCGCAGGGCTGTCCTGCAGCTCCGCCTCCCGCCGGATCTCGGACTCTGGCATCTCCACCTTGTCGACCATCTTCACCGCGAGCTGCTCCTCCAATGAGCCCGCTGCCCGACGCGCAGGCTGGATATGGTAGATGCGGAAAGAAGCCTTGCTGCAAGAAATACGTGGTCACTTTTGTTGGTTCTTGATGGTCCTGAGGTGTCCCAGGGCGCCTGTGGGAAGGAGACGGCAAGCTCCAGTCTCGCCATCAGCGTCGCCACCCCTGTTGCTGCTTGCCGCTTCGGGGCTCTGCGCTGCCAGCGAGGAGCGAGGAGAGGGGAGGCCTGCTCCTCCCACTCCTTCTCCTCGAGCCTAGCCGCGGAGTCCTGTGATCCTCACCTCGATGCCGTTGGGCGCCCTGACCTCTTCCGGCTCCCTTTCCTCCTCGCCCTCTTCCTCCCTCTCCTCCGCCTCCTCGCCATGACTTCGCGACGCGAGCCTCCCGGAGCTCTCCGAAACCCGCATCCCCGGGCTCGGCTCCTCGTCCCCAGCAGGCGCCTCGCGCCCCCGTGGGGGACTCGCCTGCGGCCCAAATGACTACCTACCAGACCACCCCAACCCAACCCGAAGACCCGAATTTCGGGTTGAGGGGGGTACGGGTTCCATCTGTGTTTTCTCGATGTTCCACGACCCCCCCCCACTGGAAATCGAGGATAATTTGGGGCCTTCGGGTTGGGTTGAGGTGGTTTGGTGGGTGGTGACCAAAGGAGTGCAGCTGCGGCCGCAGCTGGGAGGCATGGGCGCCCGGGGCCCACGCCATGCTTGCGGGGCGCAGCCGGCCGCGGCCACGAGGGCACCCCGGCGGGCGCGCAGCGAGGCCAGGCCCGAGGCGTCGAGACCCAAAAACGGGGCCCCTGCGCCCCCTCCTCGGCGAGGGAGGGAGGGAGGGAGGGAGGGAGGGAGGGAGGGAGGGGAGGGAGTGGAGGAGTGGAGGGAGGGGAGGGAGGGAGGGAGGGAGGGGAGGGGGGAGGGAGGGAGGGAGGAGGGAGGGACTGCGGCGACGAGCAGGAAGGGGGGGAAAGTCGTTGGGAGGAGGGAGATGTGGGAAGATGAGGGGGGGCACGAGGCGGAGGAGGGTGAGGAGAAGGAGGCGGCAGCGGCAGAGGAGGGGGAAGAGAGGAGAGGGGCAAGGAGGGCGCAGCTTCTGCCCACCCACCCATCCCTCACTCCTTGCACCCCCCTCCCCTCCGCCCCCTTCCCCGCCCGCCCACCCTTCCCCCCCCCCCTGCCCTCCGGCCCTCCTCGGGGCCCGCGCCGTAACGGCCGCACGCGTAGACGATGCCGAAGGAGCCCTGCCCCAGGATGCCGCCTCAGCGAGCATACAGCTCAGGCGCTCGGCCCAGGGGGCTCCTGCCTTCACGCGCATCCTCCCCTCGCCCTCCCTCCATCATGCTTCCTCGCCCCTCGTCCCTCGCCCCTCCCTCCCTTCTCCCTCCTGCGCCCTCGTCCCTCCCCACTAGCCCATCGCTCCTCCCTTCTCCCGTCCTCCCTCCTCTGCTCACGCTGGTCCCTGCTCCGTTCTGCCCCCATCATCCCTCCACTTGCCTCCTCCCTCGTCCATCCCTCCTCCCTGCACCCTCCTCCGCCCTCCTCTCCAGTCGTGCCCCCCCTCCCTCCTCCCGCCTCCCTCCCTCGCTTCAGCAGCCTGCCCTCCCCCTCCCTTTACGCGCACTCCTCTCCCGTCCCCCCTCCCTCCTTCCTGTTGCTCCTCCCGCCGCCCCGCCCTGCCTCCCCCCCCCTTCCTTCCTCCTCCCTACTCATGCTCCCTCCGTTCCCCCACCCCCTCCTCGTGCCTCCTCTCCCTGGTCCCTCCTCTGGAGAAGCAGCCCCGTTTTGTCACCCCTTCTGCCTCCCCTCTTCGATCACATCGCTAACACGCGCAGTGGTGTGAAACTAAGGGTATCTGAATGGCTGTCGCGTTCGTTCACGTGCGTCGCGTTGGGCCGTGCTGGGCCATCGCCAGCCTGGGTGCGCGCGAAAGGGGTCCACGTGTCCTCTGGCGGCGTCGCGGATGGCCCACCCTCCTGCTAGCGATGGGCTCGACATCCCACAAACATCGATCAACGAGCATGACCATGCCCAGGCTCGTAGCCCAGGCTGACAGTAGCGCAGCTGAGCGAGGCCCTGCTCCCCACGCCCAACGGCGCGCTTGATCGCTGCCCCCGCTGAGAAGCGGCTGCCTCGTGCGCCCCCCGCCAAAGGGATCCTGCTGATTCGGATCGGAGCAGTGTGCAGTTTAGTTGGCGAAAAACTCTCGGGCGTTGCGCAAGGGGGGGGGGTCAACAAAGGGAGGCGTGAAGAAAGGAGTACGTTTCGTGCACCTTCGGGCCCCAGGGGGGCCCTGAGGGCCCTTTTCGGGGCCCTTTCATGCAACCCTCGTCCCATCCATCTCTTCTTATTATGTCATGAAGCGCCCGAGACTCTGCCTGGCGTCGGATGCCGGGCAGAACTGATCTGCCGCACCAGGGTTGAGCACTGGGCGACACAGGGCGGCGGGGTCATGCAGTATTGGTTCAAGGAGCTTGCGTTCGGAGGTGTGTTTCCAATCTTTTATTGTGCGTGATGTGTGTTGTGCTTGTGCGTGTGTTTCGTGCCACGAGTCTCCATGAACTATAGTTGTTTTGCGAAGGAGGGTCTTTTGGGCTGTGTGGTACTGGTTTGGATGTTCGTGCTCAGACTCTTCAGCGTAGGGCGCGGTTTTGATCCTCACCGCCCCACGCCCTGCTCCTTGGGCCGCGGCGTCGGGTCGAGACTCGCCATCTCGACCGGCGCGTCCACAGACCACCGAGTCGGAAAGGAGCTACTGTGCCTCGTTTAGCGCGCTTATGATTATGTAGACCCATGGATGCCCAGGCCGCCCGGCCGGGTCGTGGGGCAACGGGCCGGCTACATAGGATGGAGACTAGTCCATGGTTTTCAGAAATGCTGCGCGAGCCGGCACGGCAAACCCCTGCAGTGCACAGCGGATGGACTCCGAGTCCGCTGTGCGCATTGTGCCCTGGGTCGTTCGTTCCCTTTGTTCTTGCTCGTGTCTCCTGCCAGGGCGGGAGGGCATCACTCGACAGTCCCTGGGCCGGGGGCGGTTGATGTCTCCGGGCATCTCCCCTGGCCACACACTAGTCGTTAGCGCTGGGGGGCGCCTGGCCACCGCACCCTGGTGTAGGTGGAGCGCGGGTTACTGTGCGGCGCGCTGCCGGTCCTAAGGTGTCGACCCTACATGTTTTGGCCAGGCGACCAGGGACGCCAGTGGCTACCGAGCAGTTTGGAAACGTTTGGTTCTTCTGGCATTTCTCGGAGGGTGGGTGGGGGAACTCTGGTGGGCTTCGAGCGTAATCCTGTAATTCGCCAAGCTGCGAGCTGTGCGTGCCCGTGTTCTCGCTTGGTTGCTTGTGCCGCCTTCGCCTTCGGGCCGCCCGCTGCGCCGGGGTCCGGTCTTGCACCGGGCCTCTTTGGGTGGGGGTCTTGCACCCTGTTGGCATGTGATGCAACCTCGGAGGGCCCAGGCCGCTTGCGAACCGTATGGGAGGGAACGTCGCATGGACGGGGAGTCGCGTAAAGGGATACGCACAGTGCGTTTATGTACATTGTGTATGGTACCGTGTGTTTCGTGAGTGTGTGTTGTACGCTATTCAGTTGTGTACGTTGTCCGGGATCTGGCGGGTTTCGAGCGTAATCCTGTATTTCGTCAAGCTGCGAGCTGTGCGTGCCCGTGTTCTCGCTTGGTTGCTTGTGTCGCCTTCGCCTTCGGGCCGCCCGCTGCGCCGGGGTCCGGTCTTGCACCGGGCCTCTTTGGGTGGGGGTCTTGCACCCTGTTGGCATGTGATGCAACCTCGGAGGATCCAGGCCGCTTGCGAACCGTATGGGAGGGAACGTCGCATGGACGGGGAGTCGCATTAAGGGATACGCACTGTGCGTGTATGTACTTTGTGTATGTTGTGCGTACTCATGAGTGTGTGTGGTGCGCTATTATGTTGTGTACGTGTCCGGGATGAACGGGTGCACGGTGATCCCAACCGCTTTTTCAAGGGGGAACCGCCCACAATTTGGACCCTGCGCAAACGAGTGTTTGGGTGTCCCTGTGGCCCGCTACGGGATATCCTCTCCTCCCCTGCTCCCCCTCCCCCTCCTCCTCCTCCTCGCCCTTTTCCTTGCTCCCCCTCCCCCTCCTCCTCCTCCTCCTCCCCCTTTTCCTGCTCCGCCTCCCCCCTTCCTCCTGGCGGGTATCTCGTGTCGGCCTCTGCGCTTCGTCTTCTGATAGGTCGGCGGGGGCCGCCGTCCGGGCGTGCATACCCCCCAACAACAACAACAACAACAACAACAACAACAACAACAACAACAACTGGGCGACACAGCTGGCCAGGCCCAGCCGCATAGCCCGATTCACCTCGGGGCCTCAGGACTCTTCTACTCTCGGGCCGGACGAAAGCGGGGGGGGAAGCTGACGGGCTGAAGTGGGGCCAAGCTAGGGGGACCAGCTCAGGACAGCAGATCCGCACGTTCCTGGGCTGGGTGAGCTATCGGCCCCCTATCGGCAATCAGTGGGCGATTGGGGGTCGATACATCCCCCCCGAGGCTGTCCCGACCCTAAACGTCGCTCCTAAAAACTTCTGCCTGGCGTCGAATGCCGGGCAGCCCTGACCTGTCGCACCAGTGAAAGCAGTGGGCAGCACAGCTGCGCAAGCCCGTCTCGACAGCCCCAATTGCCTCGGAATCTCACGGCTCTCCTCCTCTCGGGCTGCACGAAAGCGGAGGGGGGGGCAGAAGATCGGCAACCAAATGCGAGCCCTGCCCCCGCAGGGCGGATTTCTGGAACGCCGCCGGCTGGAGTTCAGAATCGACGGATGCCTGCAACCAAGCTAACCCCAGCGGGGTGTCCGATACACCCAGCGTCGACTCCACGGCAGGAGCACAATGGGGGCCCGACCACAAGAAGCCTTCCGCAAGAAACCCAGCGCTGAGACCCCAGGACGCCCATGGATTCTTGGTGCGGGAACGCCGCGCTCCCCACCGCAAAAGACAATCGAAGCCCAAGAAGCCTGGGGCATCCTGGAGGCAGCCAGGGCGTTTCTTGGCAGGGGCCTCCACTGTAGGCTTCGCAATCGGTCGCAGAGCAAGCGGGCGTACCCTGCAGGGGGCTGGCTTCCCCGGCGCGACCCGCCGCCGGCGGCGTCCCTGGTGTGGAGGAGCGTGCCCGGCGGCGGGGCGGAGGCCGGCTGCGTGCAGCAGGTGCCGTGTCTTGAGCGTGCTGGCTCGGGGGAGCTGGTCCGCGGGGGCCAGGGAGGAGGAGGGAGGAGGGAGGGAAGGGGCAGGAGGACGAGAAGGGGGAATGACAGAAGGAGAAAGAGGAAGGGGTCCACTTACCCCGCTCACGGAACCGCTCAAGCAGCACACACACACAGCCTTGCCTAGGCCCCCCGTTGGAGTCCGCCCAGCAGCAGCAGCGAGCAGCCGTAGCTGGGCTTGCAGGAGGAGGGGATGTGGGAGGAGGCGCACGAGGTGTATGACGCCTCGATCCTGCGCCTACAAGGCGCGTCCAACAAAGGAGGGGTGGACCCCGAGCCCCGACGTCCCGTTTCTCGTCCTGGGTCGTTTTGTTGGCGGCCCCGGGGCCTGGTAATCAAGGGCCCCCAGGGGCAGAAAAGCGGCACCGAGAGCCCTCCGTCGTAACGGTTTCGCGAGGCGAGGACGTCTGGGCTCGGGAGGCAAAAGTCGACCCCCGGGGCCCCCATCCTGCGGCTCGTTCGGGCCAGAAGTTCGAGGCGGACTCAGCCGTGGCGTCGAGAACGCCCCTGGAAGCCCACAGAAGGGCCAAAACGTCCGCACACCTCGACCTTGGAGCCGGGATCCTCGTACCTCTGGGACGCTCGATCCTCGGCGGCGTCCCGAAGACGGCTTGAGAACTGCCCCCCAACAAAAAATGAAACGGCCCAGAAACGTCCCATCGGCCCGACGGCAGCGGCGAGCCGCCGCCCAAATTCTTTTTCACCCACCACCAACACGTTTTGGCGTGTCTGGCGTGTCTGTTGCGCCATGCATGCGTTTGGTATGCTTTCTCATATCCTGCGCGCGTTTGGCGCGCCGCGCTCCAACTTTATAACAAATTTCCCCTACGCGCCGCATGGCGTATGGCTTGTACTGGGCACCACCAACACGGTGCAACAAGCCTGCACGCCCCAAGCGTCTCACATCCACGCGCAGATGAGAGACCGTGAAACAGGACAGGAGGAAGGGAGGGAGGGAGAGGGAGGGAGGGAGGAGGAGGAGGGAGGAGGAAGGGGGGGCAGTGGGAGGAGGAGGGAGGGAGGGAGGGAGCGAGAGAGGGAGGAATTAGGGAGGGGGAGGAGGGGAGGGGGAAGAGGAGGGAGGGAGGGAGGGAGGAAGGGAGGGAGGGAGGGAGGGGGGAGGGGGGAGGAGGGAGGAGGGGGAGCGAGGAGGAGGGAGGAGGGAGGGAGGGAGGGCGGGAGCGAGGAGACGACGCCGCCGCCTAGCTTGTAGTGGTCCAGGAAGCGCCCCCCCGGCGCCGCGTCCACCACCCGCGGAGTGCACGGCGGCGCCGCCGCGATCACTGGGCGCCTCCGCCGCCCGCGCCAGCCGGGCCGAGGCGGAGGGAGCGCCACCGCCGCCGTCGCCGCCGCCGTCGTCGCCGCCGTCGTCGGGCTTTAGCGGCGCGCACAAGTGGGTGGAGGGAGGGGGGAGGGCTTCTTAGAAGGAGGCTGCTTCTTAGAAGGCGCCGGCCTTACATCTATAGGTGGGGCCCGCGCCTTCTAAGAAGCAGGGGTGCGTCTAAGGAGCCCTCCCCCCTCCCCCCACCCCCCTCTGCGCGTGGCTGGGGACTGGCGCTTGTGGAGGGAGAGAGCGCATTTGTTTACCCGTGGCCATCACGGGCGTCATGGGGGGGGCCCGAGGCCCAGCGAGGGCCCCCAGAGGCCAAAAGTATGGAAAACCCTCCCGTCGCGACTGTTCCATGGCCCGAGGGGATCTGAGACAAGGGCCCAGGGGTCCCCTGGCCCTCAGAGCGCGGGCTTAACGGGCGGTTCGGGGGGGAGGGGGGGGCGACGGGAAGGGGCATAACGTAGCGCCCCCCCCCCCAGACTGTGGTGCCAGACGCACTGCGGCAGTGCCTGGGACGCCCTGAGGGGAGGGGGAGCGTTAAGTTATGGGGGGGAGAGGGGGAGGGTAGAGGGCAGAACGCGCGTTATGGCTCAGAAAAAAAAAAAAAAAAAAAAAAAAAAAAAAAAAAAAAAAAAAAAAAAAAAAACTCAAAGGAAGCGATGACCATGACCAAGACTGAATTCTGAAGCGTCGGTGTCGACTTGGGTCATCGTCCATCCTGGTCATCGTCAATCCGTGGATCATCCTCGCGAATCGGCGACGGCTGGCATGGAGCATGACTGAGATCGGCATCGATGAAATTCCGCGACGTCTTGGTCATGGTCATCGGGCTATTCCCTCGAGCTTGGACGCTCTTGGCCCTTTCTGAGGCCCGGAGGTCTCGGGGGAGCTCTAGGGCCTCCAGGCACCTCGAAGGTTAAGTCGGGCCTGTCCCCCTACAGAGGGATCTTCGACGAAAAATGAAAGATACCCCCAAAAATAATCAAAAAATGGTCCAACAGTAGTCTGGATAGTACTATGTTTTGAGTATGTGTTAGCCTTTTGGGTGTATTTTTGGGGTATGTTGTATTGTTCGTCGACAATCCCCCGTGTAGGGGGACACGCCCGACCTAACTCTGAGGATCTCGTCGCTGCGGGTCTTGCTCTGCACCCGCGGAGGTGCCATCCTCGCCGCGGCTGGGCTCGCCTCGAGCATCCAGCCAGCATGCGCCCCGGGAGGGGCCCAGAGGTCGTCGCCGCCGTCATCGCCGTCGTCACCACCGCCGCCGCCGCCGTGCAGCAGGCGTCCGGGGGGGAAAGGGGGCTTCCAGGCTTCACGGAGTCGTCGTGGAGCAGCCTGATGTTTTCGGACGCGCCTCGGCCGACCTCAAAAAGTCTGAA